CGGATTGTGACTCGGAACCAGGTGATGACGGGATTTTCGGACTTTGGATTGGACGGTGGTGATTGCTGAACCCAACCGGTTCAGGTTTTAGAAGATTATCCATCTTCTTGGGATCGAACATTGGCTTTTGCATCTCTTTGCGTGGTTGTGGAGTTTGATGAATGATTTCTAACGGTGGATAATTCGAATTCGTTGTATGATTAGATGATTCTTTTGACGAGACATGGTGTTTTGACTGCACAATAGCAAGAGAAGAAAATCTGAAATTACAAGTAGATGTACAAATTCCAAATCATTATACTTAAGAGCAGCCTCGTATATACCTGTGACGAAGAGTCAAGCTTCTTTCCGGTCTTCGATAACATCGCCAGCGAAAAACCACGGCGAGATTAGCAGATCAGAGGAACCTGTTTCAATGAAGAAAGATTCAAGTTTCTTTTTTTGGGGGTAAACAAGGGGTCAATTTGGGTTTGAGTTCTTTATCATCCAAATGCAGGCATTACTTGGTGTCACGAATGTTAACGTCCTTCCTCATGTCTTGTCAATAGAATCTACCAAAAGGATTGGTCTGCACGTCGAGGTACGTATATATATATGTATATTACAATTTACAAGTACGTTTACTGGTTTTTGGCAGGAAAATTTAAAGAATTGGAGCTTAAAGATGGGAACTTTTTTACCTTCTATGTCTGAAGTACTTGGAAACCATGAAGGAGGTTGAGCAAATTTTACTGGTGAACATAAGATTGTGTTGAAATTAGGGAAAAAGAGAGTGGATTAATTAAGAAAAGAGAGGAAAAGAAATGGATGGAGAAAAAGTATCTTATGAGTTTCCAAAGAATGTGGAGAAGTGGAGGGAGGAAATAGTCTGAATTTTGAAAGACAAAAGAAATTGTGATGTCCCCTTAATTATCTCTTAATGTTTCCAACCAAGAATAATCATTTATTTTTGTTTTCTATCAATTTTACATCACCTTGTTACATACATCAATGCTATATATTTTCATAGATACAACAAGTGCTTAATTAGATTAAATTAAGTTTCACAACAGAATATCATTTGGTTTAACATTATACTATAACATCAACATGATTTACCCGTGAATAGTTATGAACCAAACCATCATTTCTTTCTTGGTCGTCAACGAGTCCATAAGATTTCTGAATCAGATAATTTCTTAGGATAAACATCTACGCTAAATTCAAATTCCAAGAATTATAGATTACTTGTAATTTTGATTAAGAGATTCATAAAACGGTACTTTAACAAAAAAAAATAGGCCCAGTCTTACTATCTATTATTATAAATGGGCTTTGGACTAACAAGTGAGAAATAATGCAAATTTTCCAAATTTACATAAAAAACTCTCGAGTTCCCGAAATGCAAGAAGAAGACGAAAACCGACGGCGAATTCCGGCGGAAGCGCCGCCACTTCATCCCTCCGTCGCGCCGTTGTCGTATCTCTTAGGGACTTGGAGAGGACAAGGCGAAGGTAAATATCCGACCATACCTTCCTTCCTCTACGGCGAAGAGCTCAGTTTCTCACATTCCGGCAAGGTAAAAACAATCAGATCTCGATTCTTCTCCGTTTCCTAGATTCGATCTTCTCAAATTGCATACCTTCTGAATCGAATTCGAAAGCTAAATTGACTTTGGTTTACTGTCTTTTTTCGTCGTTGTGTAGCCGGTGATAGCTTATACTCAGAAGACATGGAAATTGGAATCAAAAGAGCCGATGCACGCAGAGAGTGGTTACTTCCGACCAAAACCAGACGGTTCCATTGAAGTTGTCATAGCCCAGAGCACAGGTCTCGTCGAGGTCCAGGTAAAACTCTCAATATTACTACCCGTTTAAGATCTTTATGACAAAACTCATGTTTCTGATTCTGAATTTAAACAAATTTTATCTTCAGAAAGGAACATACAATGTAGATGAACAATCAATCATACTCAAGAGTGATCTTGTGGGCAATGCATCGAAGGTTTGATAAACCATTTC